TTTATTGTGAATTATGTGATAGTTTACATGGGAGAACATTAGCTTTCTATTTATCCTATCATATATATATCGTTTCACTGCCATGGTTACAATCCCCTCCATGCATCATCAACCAACCAAAGGGTATATACACTACAAGCCTGTCCCTTGGTCGTCAGCACACAGCCCCTCTTCCTCTCTGGATCTAGAGTCCTCAGCCGCTCCATCTCTCCACGTCACTGTCTCTGCCTCCATCTCTGGTGTCACTATGTCTCTGGGTAGGGTCCCATACTCCGCTCTTCTCCCTTGATAGCCACCTTAATGTTCTGTTTTTTTTTTTTAAAGAGAGCCCTTCATTTTCATTTTGAATTGGTCCCCACAAGTTATATTGCCAGGCCCATCCATAACGATACATCTCAGAGTCTATGCACTTTTGTCCATATACTTCCTGGCCCCAGAAAGACTGTTAGCCTTCCAGCCATGCGCTCTGTCATCCCATCTGCAGAGTCATCTTTTCGGGCTGCAAGGCTGACCTGGCACTTGTCTGCTACACATCTCATTTCCCCAACTCAGTGGGCCCAGTAAGCCCAGTGTGGTCTGGTCCCCAGCCTCATCTTACACCACTCTCCACTTGTTCAGTGCCCTCTAGGCCACACCAAGCAGTTTGCTGATGTCTCAGGACATCTGCTGGGAACATTCGGTAAATACCTCTGGGCACCTGTCACGTTCAAACTTCTGCAGACGTTTGCATGATTGGGTCTGTTTCTTTCATTAGACTATCAATTTCTAAAGACAGACTGTAGTCTGCTCCGTTAAATCTCTGTTGGTCAGGAATCGTTGTTCCCATTTGTGAAGGGGTCACTGTTGATGCTAAAGTCCAGGATGTGTTTCCCTTAGGCTGATGCCCCCAATCCATCCCTCATCCCTGAGACTGATGCTGTGGGTGTGACCGTGGTCCTCATCACCTGCACCTACCATGAACAAGAGTTCATCCGTGTGGGCTACTATGTCAACAATGAGTACCCCAACGCTGAGCTGCGGGAAAACCCACCCCAGAAGCCAGACTTTTCTCAGGTAGGGCCTGTCTGCCTTCACACTGGGGAAGCCAAGTCATTAGAATTGGGAGCCTGAGTCACTGCTTCAGGTTTTCAGTCATGCTCAGTGCCCACAGAGCCAGACCAGGTGTGGGGGCAGGCCTTTGTTTCCAGAGACAGGCCTCAGGGCTGACAGTAGCTAGTCCTAAGAGGAGGCATGAGGCCTTCTCCTGGCACTTTGGACCTGGTTGGTGGGTAAGCAAGGTCTGCTCTTACTGGGCTTGTAGTCCTGGCTCTGAGGGAGTAACGAGGGGCACATAACAAAGCTTGACACTCTTCTTCTTACCCCAGCTCCAGCGGAACATCTTGGCTTCCAACCCCCGGGTGACCCGCTTCCACATCAACTGGGATAACCACACAGACAGGCTGGAGGCCATGGACAACCAGGACCTTTCCTTGAGCAGTGGCCTCCCCCTTAGCTGTACTCCTATTAAGGGCCTGGGCCTTCCTGGCTGCATCCCTGGCCTTCTCCCTGAGAACTCCATGGACTGCATCTAATTGGGGGAGCTCAAGCCCCAGTTGGGCTAGGCTGGGACTACCACCAGTCTCCTGGCACATCTGGAATGGGCACCTGGGCCTCCTGGAGAGCCGTGTGGGCCATCTGAAGGACTTTGAGGCTGTCACCTCCTTTGAACCAGTCAGACCGGGCCCTGAGAAAGAACAGTCCATGGTCTCCCCCAACCCTGGCTTGGAAGGATCATCTCACATCTCCTGTACAGGCTTGTAAGAAGCAGGTACTCAGTCCTCATTCTTTCTAGCTGTGTCCTTCCTCGCTTCCACAATATCAGTTCACCTGGAAGCCATCATCGTGCTCCCTTGAGTATCAGCCACCCAGACTTGCTTCCCACAGCCTGCCCTGGCCTGCCTCGAGGCTTTCTTGGTCAATACCAGAACCCTATTGGGTCAAAGGCTCTGCCATTCCTTCCCAGACATCTCAGCATGCCCCCAGCTTTCTGAAGTCACAGGCAAGGAATACTGGTTAAGAGGGAGACTTGGATGACAATGTCTTCCCAGGAGATTTTTATCTGTTTTCAACCCAGCAGCCCTTAGAAAACGCTGCCCCCAAACCTGTGACTTAGCAGGTGCCTCTCATTAGTGGTAGCCACCTTCCTGTTACTTGTTAGCTGGACCTGGCGTTCCCTCTAGGGACTTGGGTGGTAGGAACATGGCCTGTTGGAGGGGTCTGTTGTGCTTCAACTTGATACCAGCATCAAGGCCCCTCCACTTGCAGGCTTGACCTGCCCTCTTCCAAGACAACATGCTCTCATGGACCACAGTGAGTGTGGGCAAGAGGAGCTGGAAGCTGTCAGGAACCTGAAAACCTTCCCTCCCGCCCACCCTGACCCCATCTCTCGCTGCTACGTGGATGCTGTTATGATTGCAGTTTGTATATTAAAGGGTTTTTATATTAAAAATGTTTGGTTGTTCTAAAAATTAAAGGCACTTCATTGAGACTGATTGTTTCTGCTTGTACGTCAGTGGGCAGAGGCAGCGCCGTGGTCCTCACAGTAGGGGTAAGCTCTTCTGTTGGGCAGAGTGACTGCCCCTTGTCCCCTTGTTTGACTTCTTATTCCAGCTAAGGTTTGGGGAGTCCTGACAAGGAGTATTGGTTGCATTGTAGGATAAACACTGGACTGCTAACCACAAGGTTGGTTCAAACTCCAACTTAGAATCCCTATACAGGGTTACTATGAGTTGGAACCAACACTTTACATCAAGATTTGAGGAGAACGTTTTCTTTGTCAGATCTTAAGCAAACACTGTTCTGGAGATAGAGATGACCAGTGATTTGGACATTGACTATGGCCCACAGGAAGAAATGAATGTTTACACAGTGAACCCAGTACACACACAAAGCCACACTTTTCTCCTTGACCTCACTATGTAACTCCATATCCTGAGTTAAGAGTGTTTGGCTGGCCAACCATTTCCCTTTATTTCACAGAGAAGCTCACACTCCCAAGTACTGGTGGTCCTCCTGGGAGCACGAGTGCAGACGGCTGCGTGCAGTTAGCTCAAGTTCATGAGCCGTGGGGCCTAAATGGGAGACGGACAAGGCTTTTCATATCAGGGAGAGCTGGCTGGTCCAGCCCCCAGCCCCTCTAGGCACCTTCTGTTGGGGCCATCTATTTCAGTGGGTCTCTATCGAGGGAGACGATTTAGCAACGTCTGGAGACGGTTGTAGGTAGTGGGGGCGAGGAGGGGCAATGTGTGCTATTGGCATTTAGTGAGGAAAAGCCAACCAGGGGATACTCAAACCCTACAGTGCACAGGACAGCCCCCACCCCAAAGCACTATCAAGCCACGGAAGACAGGCAGGCAGCTTTAGTTTGTCAACACTGCCTTACGATTTCGTTCGGTTGTGTCTACTGGAGTCGTAACCCCTACACTACCAGAGCCTCTATGTGTACTGAAAGGACATCCTAAAAAAGGGCATCTTATCCGTCTGTCCTCCAGGAGGGTAGGATCCCTTTGCATTCTCCAGACAGCAGAATGTGGAGGGAGGGAGGTGAGTCAACATACAGAAATCTGAGGCCTGCCAGTGCCCCCAACTCCTTATGCCTAAAGCAGGGATGATGATAGTACCGACATGACACCAGTGCGGTGCGAAGTAATTAATAACCCTGTATGAGTGCCAACTCTATTGGCAGGAGCCCAGGGTGCGCACCCAGCAAAGGGGTGAGTCCTGCGCCCCCTCCCAGTCACCCCTCGCTCCGGAGGCCAAGCATCTTACTGAAGCTCCGGCTGTGCCTGGAAGCGACCCCATGCCGCCAGTAACTGCTGGCCAGAGCCAGGCCTTATGAATGACGGAGGCCCGCGGCCCGACGACCTCTGACCCGCGGCGCAGGCCGCGCCCCTCCCCCGCTGGCAGGTGGACAGCGGCTGCGCCGGCGGCCGTAGCCGCTGCCGCACTGGGCGGGGGCGGGGGACTGCGGCGCGTACGGGGCCAGCCGGTGCCGCCGGGCCGCCTGCTGGGCCTGTGAGCACGGCGCGGCCGCAGGCCAAGCTCGGCTGCCCCGCCCGCCACCCGGGTCTGGGCAGCCGACAGAGCCCCCGCCCCGCCTTCTCACCCCGGGATTGACACTGAACGTTCTGCTGGGTGGGTGGGGGGAGCTTACAGACCGCGCGCATCCGCCAATCGGCGACCGCACCAGGCGGGCCCCAGGCTCTGTCACGAGTCTCGGCCAATCAAACTCATCTGCCCGCCCAGCTGGGGCATCGCGAGCGCGCGAGTGGCCGGGCGTCCTCGAAGCGCGTCAGTGAACCGAGAGCCTATGGCAATGCGAGAGGGTCATGGCAGGCCAATGGACAGCGTCACGGCGCCGTCAGTCAAGGCGACGCTGACCAATGTGCAGCGGGCTGCGGGGGCGTCACGGACGGCAGCAGCGGACTTGGGCTGAGGTTCCCGGGCGGGCGGGCGCGGAGAGACGCGGGAAGCAGGGGCTGGGCGGGGGTCGCGGCGCCGCAGCCAGCGCAGCC